TGCAAAGTACCTCAATAGCTAAACCTAACGTAAACCTTATCTTAAGTAATGCATAATAGAACCATCTGGTAGCACAGATTCTAATGCAAACCTGCCGCAGTTCCGTCTATGTGCGGAGATTTTGTGCAACTTTGACGGGCATGGATCGCAATGCCTTCGCGTCAGATAAGATGAGGAGCGTAGAACATATACTGTGGTGCATTATAGTCTTTGATGCACTTTGCGTCTTTTTTATATAATTTTTGTTTTTATATGAAAAAAATTTAGCTCTCTCCGTATAAAGATGGCTAAAAATAAGTAACGTAAGCCTCTGACATGTTTATTATCATCTATTAATACGCGAACAATCCATGTCTTACCACCTCCTGACACGACCTGAAAATTGATGCTCAAGGAAAATGAGGGTTTAAGAGGGTTTGTACCAGTTATCTTTAAATATTACTGTAACCCAAAGCGCTTGTTTACATTCGGTATATTATGAAATCTGGGGAAACTATTTTCTTTTCGTTCGTTGCCCATTCATTGGAGTCTTGGTAACTACCCGTTTGCTATTTGTTTTCGAACATATAGAAAGTAGGAAAGTATCCGCATTAAAAACCAAATAAACAAAGATTGTTTATTTGGTCTATATACATGTCTCATGTCTCTACCCAAACACTCTTGATAAGAATGAATGAAAAAGAAACACCACTTTTACAGATTTATCAAATCTGTAAGTGGTGCTTAAAAGATTATAGTTTCTAAATGTTGCTAATTACTCGGTGACTGTGGTTCAACAGCTGTTTAAAGCAAAAACCAATTTAACGTTCAATTCGAAAAATTGCTTCAAAGCTGAAGTTATTCCCTGATATCGTAGACGTTCCTGTTAGGGTGCTGTCATTCAGCTTCGAGTGACATGCATTGCATAAATGCTTCGTTAACGTGGTTGTCAATTTTCTAAGAGGGAACCTCAGTAGAATTTTGGTAAAAAAAATATATGCCTCGTGAATCAAAAAACTGTTTTGACGAATTTCGTACCCTTTTCCAATTGCTATTGCTCATTTGTCAACAATGTATACTTGCAAGTAAGATTTAGGAACTGAGATTATTTTAAAACGTTTTTCTTTAACAGTTCTTTTTTTTAAGCATAACTTTCTCTTAGTAAATACGCATTAAAATGATAAGTTGATGTCTTTAAAAGCTTGCCTCACGCATCCATCACTCCGGTCCAATCGAGCTTGATTAAAATAGTATTGTTAGCTTTCTGCTGTTTGTTATCCGAGATTATTTATTAGGCCAATCGTTTATTCTTACAGGAATTGTATTTATATCAGCAATTTAAGTAGACCGGTGTCTTCGAACTACGAGATACGTTTTTTTCAGGGGTGTCTTTCCTACATAGGATCAACTAAGCTCCGTCTGAGAATAAGAGGAACGGTGTTTACGATGAAACATAGCTTAAAAATATATCTATAACCAAGTAACTCTAGCACAAACAGTCTAGACAATACTGGAACAAAGACAATACTCTTGATTAAACAATAATAGCTCTCGTAAAATTTCTAACTTCATTTCGTTACCGAACTATCGCAATGGGGCATCTGCAAAGTGATTCTCGGTTCAGGTGTTTAGGCTTCGGATTATAGACGATTATGCTGTGGGTTTACTAGCGAGTTCGCGTGATGGCCATTATTGATTCGTAGGCTCTTCCATGAACATCAAGAAAGCCAACCGGCCTTTTGTACGGGAACGTGCTAGATCGAGTGAGCTGCATTATTAGATCACGCTTTTTCCATTGTGTTTGCGTGACGCACTCTCGTATCTACTAAAAGTAACAGTAGTTATCTAACTTTAAAGTGGTTCCATTTGTCTGTTGATCGTAACGAGTCGTCTGATCTATTATCACGACATTTAGACCAAAATCATTTCATTCTGTAAAATATATCCATTGAATGCATGATTAATCGATTGCAAATATATTGAGGACTTTTCATTCGATCAATATCGCTGCCTATCTTATATGAAATTATACAATGTATCAACTCCAAGTAGAATAAAAATTGTGATTTTCGCTTTACAGCTGCCTTTGTAAGAGCTGCCCCAACAATTTCAAGGTAGTATCGCTAAAATTACATATGTATATTGTTGCCACTTACCGATACTTAGAATACTAGTAAATATGAACTCTCTAGGAACGAATTCCGATCGACGGCGCAGAACACACGAACGCTAATAAGGATACGGTTGATTCGGAAGTCATGTACAACTAGGATCATCCAGCAAATATTAATTCAGAACCCTAAGCAAAATTTGCTAATGATCAGATATACTCCGTCTAGTGATAAGCGCAAAACTCGGAAGTTGTCGTTCTGTCCCAGATGAGGTGCGAATCAGGCCTGACATGTTTCCAGGAAATGTCAGCTTTATTGACAAATTAAACAAAAAAGAGGACTCACGGGGAGACCACACTTTCGGCTTCAATTAACTCGCCAATACGGTAATCACATTCCAACTCGTGCTTGATTTTTGTCAAATCTTATTATGGCCATAATTATTGCATCGAATGTTGTTTGTGTATCAACCCTGGTAATTATGCCATATTGTCAAGGGAAATTTTTAACTTGTTAAAATGCCCGCTAACCGCATTACCACTGCACCTGACTATAAGCGGCGCCCGGACATGATCTCTTGCAAGTTTAGGTAGACAAGGTTTTGTGTGAAGTTAAAAGCTACAAAGGTTTTTCGTGCGAACCTCTGATCTGCCCGCGAAAATTCGCTTGAAAGCCTCAGACACGGTTACTCCAGTTAAAGATTAGGGCACGTGTAATTTAAAGACTTATAAATGTATGGTTGTATTTTGCAGTACCTAACACAATGTTTTATTTGTACATGGAAACAAGATAGTATAGATGTACTCTCAAATATCGACTTTCCGACGAATGGCTCAAGTTCTGCATTATCCTTTATATGATCAGACCAGCCTTATGATTTACGTTTACAGAAACTGGCTCTGTCCAGATGTTTACTTCTGCAGTGGCCCGGTAAGTGCGAAAGGCAGAATTATGCTTTTGGTCAACTCCTTCGATTCAGGCATTCCTTGTCCTACTAGTACGTTACAGCAAAGTATTTATTCGAGATCTTGATATCCCTTATTCTCTGAAAGTTGGACGAATCAGCGCGAGTTTTTCCTCCTCTCTAGTAGTTATATTTAATATGTTTTTGTTCAATTTGAGCTCCATAATGGGGTAAACAATGTAGGTTTTTACCAAGACTAGAGAGTCATACATAGGGTTCGAATTGGTGTTCGAATACCTGAAAATGAAGGGCGATCTTGAACTTGGAACGGCCTATCTCTGTTACACGATATGAAAGGGATGAGTTTAAATTACAAACGTGAGACTAGCGAGAGGGGCCACGATAGGCTAGACTTCAAATTGCTTTTCTCGATAACACTGTTTACGGCATAATTATAACGGCAAGAATTACAAATGGTATGAGGCAACCGGAACTTGAGCACGGGAAAATTTAAGTCGAGGCTTCGGCCTGGCCAAAAGTAGGTACTGAAATTTCTTATTATTTGCTTTATACTTTGCACAGAGGCAACGGGCGATAGCTGCAGAGCACAAATTACTGGCTCCTAAATGGCAGAAACTTACAACGGGAGCGCTCTGCGAAAAGTGACAGCCACCACCAAACCTATAGGGATTGTTACTGATGCTTCGGAACTTCGTAAATCTTAACGGATTATATCGGCATAAACTATAATGGCTACGTGCTGATTCGATCATTCCAATATTTGTTCTCTAACGATGTTGAAAATCGATTTTATTGTATGAAAGATTTGTCTTATGCCTCGTCGTTATCCGTCCCAGAAAGTGATTGTAGAATAGGAAAAACGCCCTGTGGCTCTGTTGATGTAATCCGCGTATTGATATAGGAGGTTGTCAAGAAAAAATCCTTCTGTTATATATATATATATACTACTTAAAATAATGGAGAGATTCTCTTATCTCAAAATGATATTATAGTACGATTAGGGTTTGTCAAGGGCATTGACACTTCTGCTTATGGTATCGTTGTTTGTTCTTAAGTATATTGTAATGATCTATTATAAAAGCGTAACCCCCTTACAGCCAGAATGCTCTTGCCCCACATTGAATATATACATGTAAACATATTACGCAGTTATCTATGCGAATATTGTCTCTATGCACGGTTTAATAAAGCACCGGCATTCCCTCATCCCATCATGTTACTGTAACCACATCCGCCTTTTATATTATTATTATTATACTGATCAATCAGTATAGAGCGTATCCGTCATGATTACTTTCGCAGGAATCTGTGACCCGTCTTCAGGTGGAACGCTTCAATTCAGTCGTGGAGTGTTAGCTGTCGGCGGGAATAGCGATGTCAAAGGCAAACATTTCTAACTAATGAAGAGCTTATAACACGACCCGAGAGACATTTTAAGCTCGCCAGAAATCTGGGCAACACGTGGGGTATCGCTACCGTTTCGTCACAGCTTACAGTATAAAAGGTGCGTGTTTATAAATGTTTAACGTCATGTGGATAAATACGAAATACATTCGGATTATTTCATCTAGAACGATATCGTTCAATAGAGTTATTTCGAAATTCGGCTATTTTAAGGTTAAAGCTATACGACAGTGCTACTAGCATATGCTTCGAAGAATTGCCACTATTATTTTTTCTACCGAGCTTCCGAAAATGTAGAGGTTTAGGAAAATGATAGAAACACACTAGAGTTAAATAGATTTTATATAGATTTCAAATGAAAATAAATTATACGATTGTCTTACATAGTAATATGGATAGTATATAATGTTTGACGTCTGACGATACGATCATGAGCACACTTTTTTTTACTTAATATGGTTGGCTGTTAATTTAGAGCTCATAGTTTTCTCTGGTGTTAAGATACGGCAGGTAAACCTTGACAATAACTTTATTGGAAGAGACAAATTGCGAGTACATAATTACATTAGCCATGTCGTCAATTCGCTAGAAATTACTTTGTGAACCCAGTCCTTTGCGGGGTACTTATTAAAATAAAGGTAACATTCAAATAAGTAACTATAGTTTATTTTTATCTTTCATCCGCAAAAGAACAGTCTAATCGCCGATAGTCCCTTTCGCGTTAAATGGCTTGCTTTCGTCGCATTATATTGAAGCTATCTTTACCTGTATTCCACGACGGCCACTTAGTGATAGAGCGCTCTTCCTGCCTGACTACATACCGCTCAATACCAAGACGATTGATCCCATAGAATCTGAAATTAGGTAGCTTATTTGAGCTTGTCCAAAACCAGCTTTTTTCAACTGGCACTTTTATTTAGAACAATGTCATTAGCCTACGTCACGTACAATTGAGTAATAAAACGTCCTTAACATATATGAAATCAATGCAGACTATTGGTAAGTACTTACCATGTTCTTTAATTCTGCTCGCTGCTTTGTCAAGCCAAGATTGCTACAACCCATGTTCCGAATCTTTTGCCATGCCCACGACGTATACCCAGATCCTTGACACTCATCCGTATCGCGTCTTGTACCAATCATGATTTAACTAGTTTTCATTGCTATTAGTAGTGATCGGCATCCGCCGCTAGTCGAGTCAAGTACGATGCGCCCAGAACAGCACTTTCTCACTAACGGCAAGTGTCTACAAAAAAAACTGCCGAATTTATCGTCATCACCGAACGCTGTAGCTTTCCTTCCAGGTACCGTGATCTTTTCGAGGACTCGATAGGACAGTCGATGTTGACGCCTATTACGGGACCATGATTACCTTTCTACCAGACAAAGCGGCAGATATATGGACGCAAAAAATAACTCTAACGGTGTTATTCTACGTATCTGTGCTGTCTGTATATCTGCTCGTATTAGTTACCAGGGCGGACACTTTTCACGGTAGTAACAAACAACTTTGAAAAGGTATTTAATTATAACAGTTTTCATGTGACAATGCTTGTTTTCGTGTATACTGGGTTGCATCAGTTTATGCTTGTACTAGAGAGTGCCGAAGAACCATTTATCTGTGGAAACCCCTGTGCTGTCCAACGCTATTCACTTGATCACTTACATATATGCTTTTTATGATATATTCTTTCCTATTTCTGCATTGTTCTGACCAAACTTTTTAGTGGCCAAATTAATGTACTGTTCTGTTTCCTTAGGAGCATAAAATAGCGGTTTTTTTTTCTTATCTTAAAAGTATCACAAAGAGGGTATCTTCAAAATTGCACAAAGGTTTTTTTTATTCTAGACTTATTGAATATTTAGGTGTTCTGTATTTGCTACATAGTTAAGTTATGCTAACGTCGGGGCTCACATGTTTATCGAACCTGGTACTAAGTGACAGTAAAAAAAAAGTTCCAGTAACACACATGCCATAGTACGACAGACGTACCGACTTTATTCAACGTACTAGCCAAACGTAAGAGTATCTGCCATACCTCCTTCATTCGTCCATGTCCTTATTTCCCGTTCAAACGAAAGAAGTAACATTGTTAATGTCTTCTATGGCTAGTGTGACCATTAAGCAAACCGAAAAAGTCGCCAACGTTGCCAAGACAAAACAACAATCAAATCTAGTCACACGCACAAAAGTTTGTGCAACCCTTCCCCTTACTTCAGCGATATCCCTCACCTTCGCAGTTATCGAGTGGCGTCATTATATGTGGCAATCCTACCTAGTATAATGCTGCCTACCCTTTCCAGTTTAAGCCCTCTCTAGTGGCCATGGACACTGACAGCGCGATTGGGCATGCGTCAAGCGGCTCCAGCAGTAATGCGTACCTAGAGCTTGTTGGAGTTATGTTTTACATATTGGCATTTAATGTTATCGTCGTCGTAGTGCACATTGTTTCGCTACTTGTATCATTAACAGGCTTAGCGTCATCTTGACGTCTTAGCAGACGTCCTAGATACGTTAGGAACTTTTCATCTGACTGATAAATACTGGTACAGATTGGATTGACGGATAGTGTTTTGCTTATTAGTAACAGCAATTCCACTCGAAATCGATGTATTGCTTGATGTGGATACTGTATTACGGGTAATTGTTGTACACGTGTAAGCTGCTATAATGGACGCTCTGCCTTCTGATATAATTGCGAGAGTTAGGTTGGCTTGGTGTTATCTATTTTAATTACCGGTATAATAGAGGCTTTATTGATTTTCTGGCGACTCGATTGTGTAGTGTTATTACTGGGCTTGGGTCGCGTCTACTATATATCAGTGGACACCGATCGGTCAGCAGCAACAACAGCGGCCAAAACGGTGATATTCACGACAGTACCGTGATCGTCCACAAACCCCATCAGCTGACAGCGAAGACGCCGATGAGGACAGAAGCGGAATCAAGGTGAACAGCAGGGCGAGCTCTTGCCACTATATGTCAATATTATTGTGCGCCCAAAGGTAAGCCTTGCTCCGCCCACCAACAAGCCAGTACTGCTCGTGCCAGAAGAACGAGGCCACCGACGGCCGCACCTGTTCCGTTAATAGCCCTGAACGTGAAGATCACCTCGGCAAGGTTCAACGTAACAGTCAGTACGAAGACCTGATCCCTGAAAGCTGCTAAGAACAATTACAGCGTCAAAATGTTGACAGCCGGAACGTACAAGACGGAAATGGTAAACACTCGTGTGCTCTGAGTAGTCGTAGCAGCAACAGTAAAAAGAAAAAGAGTTGCCAGGGAACGCCAATTGCCGATATCGCAGAAAGCAAAATGGAATTTGGAGCTGATGAGAACGACTTAGTGCGGTTGACGCTTGGCGATGATTCTGCAACGATTCACCTATTTGGTGAGACGAGCTTATTTTTTTTTACCGTTTTTGTTTTATAATTGTTACTATTTTTCCGTATGCAGATCCAGTATCACTATAAACTATACGGACGTCGAGGTATTAGTTACTTGGGTACGAGTCGAATAGGGGCGACGAGGTGTGTACCGTGGAGCAGGGGGATGGGGTTACTTTTCGTGAATAATAATACTAGCAATGAAGAAAAATGTGTTTTGTTTGGATTGTAGTGAAAAATCGACTTAAGGATCAGTTAACCATTTACTAGTACATTTGGGTACCGTGAAATCGGTTATTTAATTTTGTGCAAATATCCGAGTTGGAAAATATAGCGACTGTAATATTGACTGAATAAGTGAGGGTTCTACGATCTCATGGAAAATCATGACGAGTAATTGGCAACCGATTGCGATCTTTTCCTTAAACACGTTGATATGACAACGTCACTGCGTTACTTTTTTTTTCTATCAAAAAAACGTTATACTAGGTATCAAAGCAACTTGAAATTACAATATTGATATTAGACTCCATCTGTTTTCAGGTGCAACAATTATCTCGTGGAAAACAGGCGCTGTTAAAGCAGAACATATTTATTTAAGGTAAACCGTCATTATGTGGATAAACTATCCAGATATTTAAATTAAGGGTATCTTGTAGATAGTTTGCCGTATCAATATATAAAATGTCGTAAAGCCATTACAGGGTAGCCACTTAGTGAGCACGTTAAAAATGAAAGATATTATTTATTTGCAGCAAAACTGCTATTTTCGACAATAAAAAAGCCATCCGTGGAGGAGTTCCTTTTGTATTTCGTAAGTACTGGACAGCGAAAATAGATATTGAAAGTTCAGAACACACGAGGCAACATTAGCAATTGCGTTAGTTGGAATCATTTCTTTGTCAGGAACGGAAGCTTGCTTCGTATTCACAATCCATTCTAAATATCGTCAAAACAGAGCGACATGGGTCAGCTGAATTTATAAATTACGTCCAGCGTTCCAACCTTTGGGTGTCAAAAACTCACGTATACCACGACGTGTTCCGATGTTTAGTGGACAAGCATTACCCACTGTGTTATAATAGGAATAGGCTAGAGACCAGTTGGGAAATGAAAACGTGATGATACGTTTTATATAATCTTGTTACAGCCAATTTCGGTCCGTGGTCTCTAGGACCGCACCATGGTTTTGCCCGTATATCAATGTGGTCTCTCCAAAGACGGGAGCCTTCCAAGGCTGTATTCAAGCTTACCGAAACTCAGACCTCACTCGACATGTGGCCTTTCAAGTAAGTACTAACTAAAAAAAAATAAGTAATTTTTTTGTCAGTGCAAATCTGAGATGCAACTCAGCTTCGTTACTGATTACAGCTCTAGAGAGTGCTAATTAAAGATCGCAGTTTCTGTCAATTTTTTGCCCAAGTATGTGGACACCTTTTCACACAAGAAGTCTTCATATATATCGTGCAATGTAGACTCGAAATAATCAACAAAATAAAAATAAGAAATCCCGAAGCATTTTACATATACATGTGATTTGTGCGAAACAGTAAACCTAACCCATAATCTGTGCCCCAGAGAAAAACGTCTCATAAAAAAAAACTAATAAAGATACCTATTTCATAACGAAATATGGCTGTTGAACAGGTTTGAGGTATTCTACACTGTGGAGCTCGCTACCGGAGCCTTACACATGCGTGTAGATGTGTGTAACACTGATGATAAAATATGGGATTTTACTCTTCTACTGCATACCCATTTGAAGGTGGAAGACATTGCCAAAACGAAAATCCGGGGGTTAGATAAAGTGAGCTACATCGATAAGCTTAAAAGGGGCAGCAACGCCACTCAAGTTGGAGACGTCATTATTACCGAAGCTATAGACCGGTCAGTATCGTTACCCGTGTTGTTGTTTATCATTTTAGTTGCGCTGGATGGTACATAGCATAGAGAAACGCTCGCTGAATTGTTGACATGTAGAAATCGAGAAGCGCTTTCTAAGATTTCCACTGATTTTTAATAAGCGTGTCCTGTTTTATTTGGTATCAGTAGTAGTATATGAATTCCGAGTGGTGATTTATCGCGGGCGGGCTAACGTTCTCCGTGAGTTAATCATATATGTATTTTTCCGCCGACGAAACATCCCATTCAGCAACGACCCTTGCCATCATTCTCCAAGACCTTGTTGCCCATACGTAATAGATCCTTACTATTGCTATATAATATAATAGATTTAATAACTGATCACTTATCGAATGTAGGATCTACCGTAACACGGCCGATGTTGAAGTCTCTGATGGCTCTACGACTATACTGGTCGAGAAGAACGGTCTGCCCGATACTGGTACGTATACCTTTGAATCTATACGTAATAATCATAGTAATCATAGCTTGTACAAACCTGAGCTGTGGATTTCTAGTCCTAACCATTAATTTGAGCGTCGGTTAAATGAATATCCGGTCATTACGATTGCTCTAGCAACAAAGCTGAGACCGCCACAGGTTATCTGCGGGCGTTTCCTCAAGTGCTGAAATTTCCTTGTTATATTATAATCGCCGAATATAAAATAAACTTCCAAAACGAACTATATTTTAAACAAAAGGGTCAACTGTAAGTAATAAAAAAAAAATTCCCCTCTAACAGTATCGCAGTTTTTCGTGCGGAATGATTTAAGCGTATATACATATCTTGTACATACGAGCGAAGATATACTTTGACCTGCTCTAATCGGGTTTTTTTGCTCTTGCATTTATTTTTTGCTCTATTTTCAGTCGTCTGGAACCCTTGGGTAAAGGGATGCGCTTCAATAAGCGACCTCGATAACGATGCTTGGCAGAAAATGGTTTGCGTCGAAGCTGGGAAAGTTACGGAGCGGGTTATTCTTCAACCTGGAGAGATTTACATTGCAAAGGGCACACTTCGCTTGATTGACTGACTCAACGCTCTAAGCTCAAATAAACTACATCAATATAGCTAATGCTTACGTTATTTATAGTGTTTAATCGTACATCGGTGACCGTGACCTATTGGAAAGAAGTTGTTTTGAAAAAAAAAAGGATGCAAACGAGTCAAACCGTAACGGTTCTGTTATATAGAAAGTCAACCCATTAAGCTATAACTGAATTTTAGCAGATTTTACTGTTTTTTCAAATCGATTGATCTTTTTTTACTTGGCTCTAGAACTACGTATTTTGTAATTCATAGTATAACGTCATGAGCCGTGCCCTGTGTAATTTCTGATAACAAGTGGCTTAGGCAAAAAGCCATTTTGAAAAGTATGTATTGACAAGCAGACATTAAAAAGGACTTACGCCAAAAAAATATTTTTTTGACCCAGTTTATGCATACATATTATCTATAAAAAAGAAATAAAAAGATGGGAGAGTTATAGAAATGCCTACATTTAGAATGAAAGCGTACTTTTTTCGGGGAAACAAGCGTTTCTTCCCATTCTGACTGCTAGAACTCTTTGGCGAAGGATTCATAACTGCAAACTTCCAAAATATGTAACGCCTTCTTCTTCTCTATTTGCGCCTTAATTGAGAGCTCTAAAAATGAGTGTAGTTAATTGTAGGTGGCGCTTTTTGGAGAAACCGATTTTCTAGAATGGCCATATCTGTTGTATTGTTCTAACTTTTGATC